GTACCCATGGGAATTCCAACAGATTGTTGGAAGACCTGATCTTCAAAAAACACATAGATATTATCAATCAGAAACTCAAGCATCTTTTTAATATTAATCAAAGGGAACAAAAATTATGAATTTCATGGTCTCTGCCCTCTGGGAGCTTAGAGGTGGGACTAAAACCATCCATTCTAGTTTCTTTTAAAAAATTTCTTCTTTATCCTGGAAAATTTCTTGTTTCAAAAGGTGATGATGATCTCCATATTATGAACTTTTAGTTAGACCAATAAACTCGTTATGCCATCCGACAACAAATTCAGAACAAGCGAGTTTATTGGTCAGTACGTAGAGACGACTAAAAAGAATTTGGAGGTAGATAATATATACGGGTTGGTTATAGAATATGTCTAGAATTAGGGGACGAAAGGTCGTTGATTGACCAATGCTGGAAAGTGGTGATATACATCCCCAAAGTGCGCAGAAAATCTTGCGCCGTAAAATGCACTTTATTCAAATTACGGGATCTGTAGCGTTATGGTCAAAGACTGAAATATAAAACCATAACGCTACAGTTCTGCATCTACTTCTTTAATAGCCGACCTATTTTTATATTCCTATGAAGTAGAATTTATTCAAAAACTTCTACTTGAGAAGAAAAAAAATTTTGCTGTGGCCTTGAAATCTACATTCAGATACATGTATATCTACGACAATTTATCAATCAAAAATAGTTCCCGGTACTTCAATTCATACGTCGATTCGATATATCCCAATGATTTTGAAATAAAAGGCACTTCAGAATATTTGCCATATTTTTAATTTCATATTTGGGTGTTTTACTGATAAAAGATGATAAGGGCCATCTAACAATTGTATGACAAACAATATGACTTCAGCTTTTCCGCCATTAACTTTTAATATTCGTGTAGTAATATTCCACTATCACCTGCAAATGGTCCCCCAGCTTTTTCGTTACTAAAGAGCGTGTTCTTAGTGAAATATATGGAGATAACAAACATTATTCAAGCTCACAAGTCCATTAAACATTACAAATTAGGCGCAGAGCAAACATGGACCTCCAAAACATCAGAGGTGGGATCAGGTGCCATGGAGGAGTGAGCATCCCCTGCCGACCAATCACACCCGCCGTGTGCTCCTTGTCATGATCGGAAAATAACGGAAAAATCCGTCGACAATTCAGTGTGTAAATAATGGCCTAACAATTAGTATGAAAATCGTCAGTCAGCATTTGACTCAATGATTAAATGTATTTGCTGACAAGGTCATTGTATCGACCATAGAACTTACGAAATGATGACTTTAAACGAGACTGCTAATATTCTTGTTTCATCAACTTGTTTTAAATAATTTACCTCGTTTAAGAAATTGTACATACGTAGAGCATGCTCTTGCGTATCGAATCAACTGAGAGATATTAACCCCGTATGCGGGTGATGAAGGTATATTGCTGAATAAGTAAAGTTGACGATTGAAAAGTAAAAGCCATTGCGTTTATCATAAAGCTTGGTTGCTGATTACCATAAACGTCTTTTTCAAGTAAAATATGCAAATATGAAACAGATGTGTCAGGCTTTGTAGTATCTTTTATCTCAAGCTCACCGGGATATATCGTATCGACATAAGAATGGAAATAACCACTGTTAATTGACAATACGTCGTCGATATATTTAAATGTCGAGTTGAAGGCCACAGCAAGTGTTTTCTTCTTATCACGTACAAGATTTTGGACAAATTCTGCTTCATATGAATACAAAAAAGGTCTGCTAATAACGGGGCACAATTGGTACCCATGGGAATTCCAATAGATTGTTGGAAGACCTGGTCTTCAAAAACCACATAGATATTGTCAATCAGAAACTCAAGCATCTTTTTAATGTCAACTTCAGAGTACTTGTGTGTACAATCAGAATATTTTTTAACAAAATAATTTTGCAAATGACCAGTGACAGGGTAAGTAAATATACGAGTTCCATTTTTATTGAAAAAGCAGCTGTCAATGATGTCAAAAAGCCTGGTTTTAATTTATCGTGGGGAATGGTTGTGTATAAAGTTGAAAAGTCGTAAGTTTTTAAGCTGTTGATTTTGGTAAGATCTTGTGATTTCAAATTTTCCAAAAGTTCCTTGGAAATTTCAAGTATCCACATCTGATTTACACCACTTGTAGAATATACTGTTGCACAGTACTCTTGAAGTTTCCCCTTCAGTACTGTTAATATCTTAGTGAGGAGTAAAGAAAGAGGCTTGGTTGAACATTTACTGGAACCCGCTCTGTATCTTTGTAAGGATTTTTATGAAGTTTCGGAATCCAATATAGATATGGTAATTCAAATTCATTTTGGTTGTTGGGAATATTAAAAATATTCAAAACTGACATATGATTTTGAAGAATTTCTTCCTAAGAAAGAGAACTATGAGTATAAGTTGGATTACCACTTGTAGAATTAAATCCAAGTTCCTCTAAAATACATTTAATATAATAAGCCTTACAAAGACAATGTTGTTTCCTGCTTTGTCAGCAGGGACCACTACGTACTGATCATGTAATCTATCTAATTCTTTTTTTCACTTCTGGATTATTGAATACAGAAGGACAGATGGTTCTCATATTGCCCCAGTACGATTAATTTTTAAACCGGGGATGGCTACTGACAAATAAGTGGATGTTGAAGGGATTTCAACAAATTTGTTTTAAATCAACACTTTGTAAAATTCTATGGTCGTTATTATGATTTTGTTAGCAAACACTTCCTTTCATTGTGTCATTTTAGACTGACTAATTTCATACTTATTGCCTTAGGTTTTTATTTTTTACACTAAATTTGGCTAAGTATTATTTCGTTTATCTAATCAATACATAAGGCGCAAGGCGGGCGTGACCGGTCGACAGGGGATGCTTTCTCCTAGGTAAATGATCATACCTCTTGAATTTCCAGGAGTCCTTGATTAATGCTCTGTTCACAAATTTGTATTGTTTTTAGGTGTTTTTCTTTTTTGTTTGTTTGTATGTTGTTTAACGTCCCTCTCGAGAATTTTTCACTCACATGGAGACGCCACCACTTGCCGGTGGAGAGCTGCAAACTTTGTCCTATACTCGGCACTTACGGCCATTGAGCAGTGAGGGATCTTTTTCGTGCCAGCACCTATTGCGACACGGGACCTCGGTTTATATGGTCTCATCCGAAGAACCGGTCTCCACGTCCCACAGTGGGATTCGAACCCGCGACGTAAGGATCAAGTCCTTACTTCGCGACTCTAGAGCAGACGCTCTAACCACCGCGCCACGCGGGCGACTGTAGGTGTTTTTGAGATCGATCACTGTTTTTTTTATTTTCACCTATTTCATTTAATACGTCAATAATTAAACAAAATGGTTAATAATATTTTAAGGATTGAATTTAATAGCGACCCACCTTTTACGCTATCAACCATCTGATCATGTCCAGTCTCAGGGGGTGGGAATGAACTCCATGGGGTCTGTTTTAAGATGTTTCCAGTTTTAGGAGTGGGGAAGACCTCTAGAGAGTCATAACCTATAGAACATTCAATGCATCATGATAAAAACATTATTTGATTAGATGTATCCAGTTCCACGAATGAAGAGTAATCCAGGAGTCAAGTTTAATGTACTACATACTTGCATATTGCACCCGATACAAGTTTCCAAATTTCTAAATTTTTCAATCTCATCAAAATTGCCATGCATTAATAAGATTATCAGTTAGGACAACAAATTCGGTAAGTTCCAATTTTTGGCTGATTTTTTTTCCCCTAAGCTCTACTGGTCAGAGTCTAGAAGAACTTCTGCAATAGGTGGGGTAAAGTATCGGTCGTCTGTCTGTCTGTAACCATCTTTTTAAGATGCTATAGTATATACTATAGTAATGCTATACTGACTATAGACGATAAGAGCCAACTAACAACTAAACTGCATGACAAACGAGATGACTTTAGCTTTCCCACTGTCAATTTTCCTTATGTAATATTCTGCTATCATCTGCATATAGTGTTAACGTCTACCAACTTATTTGAGAGAATAAAGGAAATTAAGAGAGTAGAATGTAGGACAAAAGACAAAGAAAAGAAAATAAGAGCTAGAGCTGATAAAAGGAAAAATCTGGAGGCTATAACTAACCAAGCAGAGAATGCAGCAAATACAAACCGTCTGAGCGAAGTTTACCAACTGACCAAGCAGCTTTGTGGGGAAAAAAGAAACAGAACAAGTTGTATCAGGTCCAAGAATGGTGAACTAGTCATTGAGAATGGGAAAATATTGGAAAGACGGAAAGAGCATTTTGAAAAGGTCCTTAATGTTCCAACAGAAGCAACAGAGCTACCTGAGGGATGCATCATCCAGGAGACCATAATTGATGAAATTGACACAAAACCAATAAGAGAGGAGGAGGTTAAAAAGGCAATCCAAAAAAAAAATGAAGAATGGAAAGAGTCCTGACATAGGTAACATCAATGCAGAACTACTAAAGGAGAGCATATCATATTCAACATCAGAGCTAATAGATTTATTCAAGAGAATCATCATTGAGCAGGAAATACCAACAGACTGGAAGAGATCGCTCATTGTCAAAATACCTAAGAAAGGAGATCTGACAATATGTGGCAACTATAGATGTATATCACTATTATAAGTGCCATCTAAAGTGTTTTGCAGAATAGTGATTGACAGGATTAGAGATGGAATAGAAGACAGCCTAAGACAGAGCAAGCTGCATATCGAAGAGGAAGAGGAACATCAGAACAGTTTACATACGAAGAAATATATTAGAACAATCTATAGAGTGGCAAGCACCACTGTACATAAGCTTCATAGACTTAAAAAAAACCTTTGACAACATAATAAGAGAGAAATTGTGGGACGTACTAAGGCAGTATGGGATTCCTGAAGTATATGTGGACATCATCAAGAAATTATATGACGGAAGTTCTAGTTGTGTCATAGAGAATGGTTCAAAGTACAAACAGGAGTGAAACAAGGATGTGTTATGTCTGAGTTCCTGTTCATCATTGTGGGAGACTGGATAATGAGAAATACCAACAATAGAAAGAGAGGTATACGATGGAAATTTATGTCCACCTTAGAAGACCTGGATTATGCAGACGACATTGCACTTATTTCCAGCAAACACAGCGACATTCAAGAAAAGATTAGGAGATTGCATGACGTGGCTAAATATACAGGCTTAAAAATTAATGTAGACAAGACAAAAAGCATGAGAATAAACGGAAAGAAGAATGATGCCATCAGGATAAATGACAAGGAAGTAGAAGATGTTGAAACATTTGTCTACCTGGGTGCCACAATGGACAAGACGAGAAGAACTGAGGCAGACATAGTGAGAAGGCTAGGCTAAGCCAGGACTGTTTTTTGCATCCCTTACCAAATTATGGAAGTCAGCACAATACAGAACAAAGACCAAACTTAAGATCTTCAACACAAATTTTCATCTGTGTTGCTGTATTGTTCTGAACTATGGAGAACAACCGAGAAAGACGACAAAAAGCTGGACACATTCCATCGGAAATGCCTTAGGAGGATTTTAAAAAGTACACTGGCCTTAAAAGATATCCAACCAACAATTGTATGAGAGAGCAAGATCCATATCTCTTATCAAGGACAATAAAAGGAAGGAGATGGAGGTGGATAGGACACATCCTCCGAAGTGAAGCCAGCTCACACATAAGAACAACTCTCACATGGGCCCCGGAGGGAAAGAGAAGAAGAGGACGGTCAAAGAACACCTGGCGACGCTCTGTTGAGAGAGAAAGGGAAGACCTAGGTTGGAGCAGTTGGAAGGAGGGGCAGGTTGTTGCCAGTGACCGCCGTAAGTGGCGTTCTTTGTTGAACGGCCTCATGTGTCCTCCGGGGCACGGAAAGGATAAGTAAGTAAGTAACTTATTTGATAGTCAAGAGCATACTTTTAGTACGAGGCAGGCAAATAAGTTGATATTACGGGGATTTCAACAACCTCGATTAAAGTTAGCACTTCTTAAATAATGACCTTGTTTACAAATATAATCATTGGGTCGTATTTAATTGGCTGACGTGTTTCATACCAATTATAAGGCCTTTGTTATTACACTGAATATGAATACGGAATACTCTGTCTACCATATCAATACATAGGGCTCACATGTGTAACCAGTCAACAAGGGATGCTTACTCCTCCCACACCAAAGCTTTTTTATGTTCATGTAATAATCGCCTCGTTTTATTTTTTAACATCGGGCTCGATGCCATATATATGATGTTCTAGAAATCTCCGTCAAGATTAAATCGGTGAATTACGAAAACGATTTGCACATTTTGCTTCTTAATCAGTTATCAAAAGATATTTCTTTTATATCATTTAAATCAAGTTTTGATCGAATAATTCATTTATGACGTTTTATGAAATGGATAAACGATTGCTTGTGGTCAGTTTCATTAAAAATCGCCAGTAACTTAGATCCGCCAACTGGAACCACCACTGTACTCTCTTTTTTGCTATTTCAGGGCTGTTTATCGAAAATGAAAGTAGACTTTTTATTAGCTCTCCTGAGCTGAAAGCTCAAGTGAGCTTTTCTGATCACCCGTTGTCCGTCGTCGGTCCGTCCGTCTGTAAACTTTTCACATTTTCAACTTCTTCTCAAGAACCACTGGGCCAATTTTAACAAAATTTGGTGCAAAGCATTCTTGAGTAAAGGGGAGTTTAAATTTTTAAAATAAAGGGCCAAACCCCCTTACAAGGGGAGATAATCAAGAATAGACAAAAATAGGGTGGGGTCAATAAAAAAATCTTCTCAAGAACCACTGGGCCAGAAAAGCTGAAACTTATGTGGAAGCATCCTGGGGTAGTGTAGATTCTAAATTGTTAAAATCATGACCCCCGGGTGAAGGGTGGGGCCACAATAGGGAATCCAAGTTTTAAATTGAAATACATAGAAAAAAATCTTTAAAAATCTTCTCCTCAAGAACCACTGAGCCAGAAAAGCTGAAACCTATGTGTAAGCATCCTGGGTAGTGTAAATTCTAAATTGTTGAAATCATGACCCCCGGGGAAGGGTGGGGCCACAATAGGGAATCCAAGTTTTATATTGAAATACATAGAAAAAATCTTTAAAAATCTTCTCCTCAAGAACCACTGGTCCAGAAAAGCTGAAACTTATGTAGAAGCATCCTGGGGTAGTGTAAATTCTAAATTGTTAAAATCATGACCCCCGGGGAAGGGTGGGGCCACAATAGGGAATCCAAGTTTTACATTGAAATACATAGAAAAAATCTTTAAAAAATCTTCTCAAGAACCACTGCGCCAGAAAAGCTGAAACCTATGTGTAAGCATCCTGGGTAGTGTAAATTCTTAATTGTTAAAATCATGACCCCCGGGGAAGGGTGGGGCCACAATAGGGAATCCAAGTTTTACATTGAAATGCATAGAAAAAATCTTTAAAAATCTTCTCAAGAACCACTGGGCCAGAAAAGCTGAAACCTATGTGGAAGCATCCTGGGGTAGTGTAAATTCTAAATTGTTAAAATCATGACCCCCGGGGGAAGGGTGGGGCCACAATAGGGAATCCAAGTTTTACATTGAAATGCATAGAAAAAAAACTTTAAAAATCTTCTTTTCAAGAACCATTGGGCCAGAAAAGCTGAAACTTATGTAGAAGCATCCTGGGGTAGTGTAAATTCTAAATTGTTAAAATCATGACCCCCGGGGGAAGGATGGGGCCACAATAGGGAATCCAATTTTTATATTGAAATATATAGGAAAAAAAATCTTCTTCTCAAGAACCACTTGGTCAGAAAAGCTAAGACTTTTGTAGAAGCATCCTGGGGCAGCGTAAATTCTAAACTATTCAAATCTTGACCCCTGGGGGTAGGGCGGGGCCACAATAGGGAATCCAAGTTTTACACATTGAAATATATAGGAAAAATCTTTAAAAATTTTCTCCTCAAGAACCTCTTGGCCAGTAAAGCTGAAACTTATATGGAAACATCCTGGGGTAGTGTAGATTTTAAATTGTTAAAATCATGACCCCTGAGGGTAGGGCAGGGCCACAATAAGTATTACAAAAAGATCGTCTGGTGAAGAACAGCAGGGCCAAAGTTGTTCAGGTGAGCGTTGTGGCCCATGGGCCTCTTGTTAAATTAACGGTTATTACTGTGCGAGTGAAATCTAGTGTACCTCATACCTAGTGTATTCCTAGAGGAGTAGGTTTGAACTCTGGTGTAGGCGTTTATTTGCATACTTTAACAATTTATTTAGTATTGATTTCCCAATTGTTATTTTCACATCTTTGGATTTTCAGTTATTTAAGACTTGTATTTCGGCGGAGGCTTTCGATAGTTCTGCAAAAACTGCTCTTCGATATGAAATTGTACCTTTTAAAATTCCTTACACTGATTTTAAGTACTTGGTGAAACTTTATGTAAATTCTCTTTGGCAAATATTTTGGGATTTTTGTTATAATAATAAACTGTATATCAAACAAAGCAAAGTTTTTGGTTTTTTTAATATAGTAATATATTTATTTTCAATGACATACAACAAAATATCGAGGCAAAACTTCCGCAGAAGCCCTCTGTATATACCTCACCTGGGGTGCCAGGAGCTCCCTGGATCGGTATTTTTTCAATATTTAATTTACAAAATTAAAGACATTAGATGAAGAAAAATACATGAATATATATCATTATTAACATTTCATTTCTATACATATGCATATATCACTGTGTAAGATTTCTTTTGTAAATAAAATAAATATTATAGATGAAATATTTATATTGTTCTTCTCAAAATACATACAATCAAAACACAAAGAAATCATATTTGGTTAGCTAACTTTTTTAAAAGATGGTAATTTGATTTAAGTTTAAAGCTTTTTGCATCCTTTGCTATTAAATAATACTGATATAATGATGATTTTAAAAAAGATAACATTGCATATGCATTTACGTTTTCAATTTGTTATTTACATTTCATTTTATACTTGTATATTTTGTAACCTGCAATTGATATGACATTATTATTTTTTTTTTTTTTTGGTGACAAAACAAAGTTAGTCATCTGACTTCGGCCTGAAACGTCAGGACGAAGTCATTATTTCAAAAATAAGAATTGGACATTCAAGGTTTACCCATTCATATTTACTGAGCGGGGAACATCAACCTGAATGCATATCTTGTGACTGTGTAATAACTATAAACCATATACTTTTAGAATGTTCTGATTTTACGTCTGTTCGAAATAAACTTTTTAATGGTGTGCAAACAATGCATGATCTTTATACAAATGCAAGTCCTAGTGTAATTTTACAATACTTGCAAGAAACTGATTTTTACAATAAGATTTAAACGTATATATTTTCATTAGCATTTTTGTAATTTTCAAGTTAACTGTTTTTATTTTTAAATTCCAAGTCCGTCGGATGGGACGTAAAATGGTGCCCCGTGTCTAGGATTACAACCCCCTTGGCACGCTAAAGATCGTTTCTCTGGTTTTCGAAAAAGAGTAGGCTCATTGGGGGCCGCCAGAGAAACCCGGAAACTTTCAAAACCGTTCATAGAGTATTTAAATTCATACCGCCGAAATATGGGTGAAATATTGCCGACTCGGCCTAAAACAACAATAATCAATCAATCAAAGTAAAAAAATTAATTTAGAATTTGAATGGTCTTTGGGTAAAGAAGAGTATTATGAAATGCTGGCTTAACAGAGGAGAATAATTTAAACATGTAATTTCAAACCACAATAAGCTAGGCTTTCTGTAAATTCAACTGTAGCCTTTGGCTACAATTTGTACAAGCGCTCTTCAATGTAAATGAATCTTTAGCAATTTAGTTACAAGTTCTGAACATCTGCTACCTATGGTCTATTACCATTCAAGGAGTTTTGACCATTGTCAGATCTGCTTTAACATGGTATCGGGGATTAATTGAATTGGCATCAGATTGCTTTTTTTCTGTAAAAGAGGATTAATATCGGCCATTGAACCCTATCTTTACTCCACTATATGAACTGTACTCTGGATGAACCAAGGAGCACAGTAGAAATAGCAATTTATAAATGTTTATATGTTCCTTATCCTATCTACCTCTGATGCAAAATCCTATCCATTGAACATTCATAATGTAACTTTGAAGACGAGGCTTCAAATTTTTCATCTTTCTGCGACGCTGCTCACTGTTATACTTGTACATGTACAGTAAATATGCATATACCATTATACTGTTCATCCCAAGCAGGCTTCCATAGAATTCATACTTTACACTTTTACTTTTAGGTGTAAGGTGTCAGTGAGTTTTTAGTGAAAATGTTGTACATGTTACACATAATGGTAGTGTAAAGTGACGGTCGCTATCGGCCATCGTACT